TGAAGCTGAACTTGACTAACTAATTACTCACTAAAGAAGCTTATTGCTGGTTTCAAAAATCATCCGTGATCTGTGATGTCATTCCACTATAGTCATCGTTGACTGAATGCATTACTAGTTCAAGTCAATGTTAATTAAATTATTCACTGAAATAACTAATCGATTAACTAAGTACACCTTGAAGAAGCTTATTGCTGGCAGACTTGCAGAAATCATTCTTGAACTGTGATGTCATTGCACTGTAGTCATTGCTGATAGAATTCGTGGAGTCGATGCTAAGCGAAATCAATATTCACTGAAGCTAAACTTGACTAACTAATTATTCACTAAAGAAGCTTATTGCTGGTGGACTTGAAGAAATTATTCTTGATCTGGGATGTCATTCCTAACTAATGAAGTCGTTGCTAATTTTCTGGCAGTTACCTAATGTATTGACCTTTCAGTTCTCAAATGTTTAAACACGCGTTAAGCTTAGAGTATTCAACGAGTATTTTATCATTTTAACGTAGTGTCACTCCATTCATCAAGTCGTACGATTATATTATTCATGACGTCACGTTTAATTTATTTTATTATTTAAATGTGTTAAATTTTCATTTGCATTTGATTGAATATTGGTTTTAATTGGTTTTTCTACCGTAAACATTGGTTTTAATTTCGTTCTATATCATATAAATAATTGTAATAAAAATTTGCAAAAACAATAGTTTCCCTGTACATACGAGTTATATTGATTTCTAATCAAACGGTCACCCGCAAAACTTTCCATTGGGAAACTTTTATGTAAATTTGCTTTTGTGTACGTAAAAAAAAAAAAAGAATTGAAAATTAAAAAAAAAAGAAAATTAAAGTTTTAAAATATTCAAATTTTTTTTTTTTTTTTTTATTTTTCCAAACTTTGTATTTATTTTTTTTTTAATATAAAAATTTAAAAAAAAAATTATTTAAAAATCTTTCCAAGGTATTAAGCAGAAATACATATATTCACGAAACGAACATTTGCTGTTGTTGTTGAAAATGTTGTGTTTATTTCTTCTTCTACTTCTTTCTAATACTCTTTCTACTACTTATTGCCGTTGTACTACTACTACTACTACTATTACTAACATAACTACTACTAATCCATAACATATATCTATATATATATATATATATATATATATATATATAAATGAGAAAATCTTTTTACACATGTATATATATATATATATAACATTTTTTATATATAAATCTAATCTAAACTGAATATATTGCAAACATACTTAAAATCAATTTGAAAATTTGTTTTTTTAGTAAATGAAAAAATTACTAACACAAACAAATGAGCAAAAAGCAAAAAGTATAAAAACAAAAACAAATATAACGTATAAAATGAATGGAACCCAAAAAAGAAATGAATTTTGTATGTGCTTTCAGCTACACTACATGAGTTGGAGCCGCTGGTTAGCGATGCTGATGATAGAAAGCCCATTGAAAAGTATGCAAACAAATTGTTGTTGATTGTTACACTTTTTTCTTGTTTCATTTTTTTTTATTTTGTGTCTTTTTTTTTAATCTTTTGTCAAATATTCTTTTTTTTTCCCTAGTTTTAGTTTTTTGTTTACATGTATTTACCATACGTATGTATGTATGTATGTATGTACGTATGTACGTACAAAAAGTATATCAGGTGGTAGGCAAACAAGCAAACAAACAAACAAACAAACAAATGAATAAGTGAATGATGCAGACACTAAGCTAAAGAGGTTCGAATTGAGCAAATTAAAGAACTATCATTCGAGCGCCTTTAACCGGATTCAGATATCAGTTCGGGTAATTTGCGAGGAAATAACATTGTTTCACTTCATCGAATCCCGTAAATAAATGTAAACCTAAAGAAAATTTATAATTAGTGGAAACTAAGTAGTAGAGTTAAGTTACTCGGGGTCCAGGTGCATAATTCATAGACGCTCATTCGTGAGTAACACTATAATTAGCTTTTGAGGAGAGTAGACGTTTGAAATAGTTTCTGCTTGATCCATGGCGCATTTGTAGCCTAAAGCTTAGAAGCCCACTTAAGAGCATTTTGTTCAGCGCTCGTACTATTCTATCGCTAAGAGAGGTACAGGAGTTTTATTTAAATTTGTAGCGCTCTTCGTACGGTTGTGCTTTCTTTAAGAGAGTTAGGCTTTTATTTAAGGTCGTAGCGCTCTTCGTACAATTATCGCTGAACCAACTGTGCAGTTGTACCCAACAGCACTAATTCAGAATACCTCACTTAAGAGCATTCATTACATTAGGTTTATTTAAGTAAGTACCGCTCTTCATACTGTTTTCTCAGGTCTAACTGCGGACTTCTACCCTACAGTTATTTTACCGCTCGAATTGTCTCTTCCCTGAGACACGTTATTTAAACTTTTAGTGCTCTTCATGCATACGACTTTCGTTTTTCTGAGAGAGTTGCAGTTTTATTTATGTTCATAGCGCTCTTTATATAGCTATCGCTGAACTAATTCCGCATTTGCGACTTATAGTAGTAGATCAAAAAAAGTCAAGATTTATTATAGCGATCCAGTCGTCTCTTCTGTGAGAGATGTAGCATATTGCGTAAGTTTGTAGTGTTCTTGATATAGTTTCCTCTTGACTAAGTGTGCACTGTTACCATAAAGCATTAGTTCATAATTCCTTACATACAAGCATTTATTGTAGCACTTCTACTGTTCATTGTCTAAGGCAGGTAAAGTTTTTCTTAATTGCGTACCGCTTTTCAACTTCTCTCCGCTTAACTAACTAATCACTTCTGGCGCAAAACTTTAGCTCAGAATATCTCGTTTCGAAACATTAATTATTCTTGCTACAATCGTCCCTTCAATGAAATGGATGTTTGCAACACACTTGATGTAGTTCCCCCTTGACCAGGTACGCACCTTGCGATTGCAGCACTGCTTCATGATAACTCAATTAGCAGGATTTCTTAAAGCCTTTCGATGGTCCCTTCTTTAAGAGACGTTGGAGCTTATATAAGTTGTCTCTACCTCTTGTGTGATTGTGTCAAATAAGTCCAGCTTAAGCCACTGAATTGTAGCGAATAACACCGATATACTTAGAAACTCTTATGGTAGTTTTCCGATTGTCTCCGCATTGCGTAAGTTCGGTTCGCTTTTAAAATCATTTTTCCGGGTAACCATCTTTACCGATAGCTTAATTTTTCTATCGCGATTTCCTCTGTCAAACTAATTTAATACTCCCCTCCTATGACATGCCTTCCTATAAAATGAAAAAAGTCGAAAATAGTTTCAAAATATATTCAATTAATAAGGAAACATGTAGCGAGAGTAGGAAAAGTAGAACTTTTGCCCGTAGCTTAAAAAAAAGTTTAAAATAAAATTCTTTTTTTTTAAATTATTTCCAAATTTCTATTTCTATTAAGAATGCACTCGCAAATATTTGCTTTTAGCAAATAAGCAAAACATTGCTATAAACAAAAATTTTAAAAAGAGAATTGAAAAAAATTTCTTAAAGAGCTTCCATTAATTCTAACAATGCTCTCGAGCCTGATATGCTACTTTTGTGAACTGTTGAGAATGTTCCTTTTTTCGTTTATTATATTTTATTATTATCTTTATATCCACCACCACGTGATCAAGATATACTACGTTTATCATATCGTTTAGCCTATGTAGCGGGAAATACTAAAGACTTGAGGGTTTTAGATTGTTGTTAAGACAATCAATGCGTATATAAGCAATAACAAGCATTGGAGGAGAGAATTTTTTGCATGTATATGTTTTTTGTATTGTTCCATACCAGACTGTCCATGGGTACTTGCACTCTATTACAATGTTAACGCAACAATACAAATCTGCTTTCTTAGGATCCAAAGGGAGGATTTTAGTACCTTCAAGATGTTTTCTAGATGTTTTTAGTTCATAAACGTTTTCTCTAAGACTTCGAAAACCTTTTGCCATCTTCTTCTACGTCATCCTTAGCGGCTGTCATTTACAACGAGAGTTTAGTGCTTCTGCTGCGAATTCCGGCTCGAAAAATGAAAGAAAATCTAAAAAAAAAAGATTTCGGAAAAGTGATCTCTCACTTCATTCTATAGGGGCCAAAAGTTGCCACCGTTCATTATGAAGAGGTGAAATAAGAAAGAAGACGGCATCGCGCTTGCTCGTAACCACAGCTAAAAATTGAAAGGCAAGATAAGGCATTCACACTCTCTCTCACTAACAAACGCACAAACATAAAGAAAAATGTAGAGAGGCAACCGCACGATTTCTTTTATGTTATCTCGAAAACTGTAAGATGAAAAATCACTCTTCTTCTCGCACAAAATGAAGAAAAGGAAGCGTGACTTAGTTTTCCTCGTAGCAGATGTTTTCAAACAATAGGTAGTATATATTTTCCAGCGATCTTATCCACCCAAAAAAAAAAAGAAAGAAGAAAAATTAGTTTACTGCGGTAAAACGAATTTGAACCCGACTTAGAAGAAAATCGAAACCATACATCGGTAGAGTATTACTATGAAAGCTCAATGCCTTACGGAATATTCTTCGCGTCATTTCACTCATAATATCAGTCCGTACCTTTAGTTGAGGTGGTGGGTATATATAATTCGTCGAATGACGAATGATTGTAGTTTTTTCTAACTTGTTTGACTTGATGTATTCATTTTCATTGTATAAATATCCCATTGTAGCGAGTAATCACATTAGAGTAATTTTCAAGCACAACTTTTTTTTTAATGCATTCACTTTGCATCTATTCCTGCATATATGTATGAAAAATTATAATAATAAAATTTTCCGTTCCTTTTTTTATAAACAAAAAAAAAAAAAAAAAAAAAAAAAAACGAAAAAAACAACAACAATCATATTTTTTTTTCTTTTTTCTTAAATTTTCTTTTTTATTTTTTTCTTTACAAAAATGTTTTTTCTTTTCTTTTTTGTATTTCTTTTAAATCTGCGACAAAACTTAAAACCATAACTTGAATGGTTTCATTGTTATCCTTGAAAATCCTGCGAATTATAAATGGATGCTGCGCTGCTTGTGTGCATTTGCCTACAAACAAATATAATGATGCTTTAACTAAATCAAAACAAACAAACAAACTGAACAAAACTTAAAAAAAAAAAAATAAAAAAAAACATTATGCTTTTCTATCTTCCCTTTCCCCCTTCCTTCCCTCTCTTGCTCTACTGTCGTCGTCTTAATCATTTCAAAACACACCCATATAAACTGAATATAAAATATTAAAAAAAAAAAAAAATCGCATAAAATCTCTGATGACAATCTCACAAAAACTGGCTTCCTGCACTGGCTTTTAATGCAAAAAAAAAAAAAAAAAAATTTAATAAAATTAAAAAAAAAAATATTAACATTTAAAAAAACAAAAAACACTTGCACTTACACGTAGACAAGTGACTATAGTGGAAAGAAAGGTTACGGCCAGACCTTTTTCACAGCTTATAGAGCAGGAACGGCCCCATCATTTTATAACTAAAAAGGAGAACTATGGCTTTGAAAAAGTCACCGAAGTGGACAATAAACAATTGTTGCAAGAACAACAGCAACAACAACAACAAGAACAACAACCATTAGCACCTCAACAGCCAGCTGCCGGTGATGGTGAACTAATCATGAACGGCTCATCGCCACCACATTCGAAACCGAACTTGGACTTGTGGCTTAAAGAGGTAGTAGAGTTACGTAAAAAGGCCGGCGAATACAAGGTAATATAAGATATATAAATTTTTTTATTCTTAAAGCAAACCAAAGAACCCTTCACCCCTTCGGCCATTTAGTCAAGGTCAAGACAAAGAATTTTTTTTTAAGTTACATGAACGTTGCTTTCACCACGACCTGAGTGAATTTTTGATCACCAAGCTAATATTTTCTATTTGTATTGGACCGCTCAGGGATGTCCCCTATACGTCCTTTATACGATGTTGATCAGGAAGAGATGCAGGTAGAGAGGACTGCAAAAAGGGGGATAGTGCCTACGCACGTATGACTTAAGAGAGGAAATGTTAGGCACGGTTAGAAAGGCAATTGCTGAAATGTTTTGGTTTAAGAGGTGACGAGGCGCGTTACTGTATCGCACGATATGCACGCAATTCCAGAACAAGTAAGTGGAAAAGCCGACAAAGCCTTACGGTTCTGATAAAGGACTTAATTGGTGGCCATATCCTTTTTATCTCTGTAGAACACTTGCACTAGGTATACTTAGACATAAGGACAATGCGAACATGCGAAATATCTTGCATTGCAGGCGACCTATTTCCTTCTTGAGTGGGCCCAGGCTACCGAGTGGGCATCGCAACCGAGCCTAGCTTAGAGGGGCACACGCATAGATTCCGAAACAGTCCCACAAACAAAATAGCAGGGTTGCCATATAGCTGACTAAATAAGAGTTGTGACTATTAACTCGGTATTCGCGAGTTCACGTCTCAAAACGGCTTGACCAGGGATGGTCGTAGTTATAGTGAATGCTTCGTCGGTAAAAGCGCAATGCGTAGCTATTGACCACACTTTTATTAGACTTCAGCCATCCTTATCTCTTTCTCCCGTTCTATTTTTTTTCATGGCCATCATAATGTTTCAGATCGAAACGGGCCTAGCCCTGACTTTAATGGGATCTGGCTGTGAGAAACACCCGGTTAATCGAACGTCATCGAAGCGCTTCAAAAAAACAAAAACTCTTAAAAATATACCTTGGATGTAATATTGCCAGATCTCGTTCTGCTCTCAAGCACCATCAGTTCAGTATCTTCAGTTGTTCAGTTAGATGTTGAAGAAATTTCGTTCGCTAAGAATATACGTGCAGTCAAATGTAGAGCGTTTTTGTGAAAAATCAGTTTCTTATCAGTTTACAAGTCTTGAGCGTCTTTGGTGAAGGGCTACATTATCCGAGAGATAACTTAAAAATTATCTTTTTAAATTTTTATTCCAATATCTTTGTAAATATATAGTGCCGCGGTTGGGGTATAGAAATTGATCCGGACTTATATAAGAAACAAAAAGATTTATGGGATCAAGTATCCAAAAACAGTTCTCTATCCGCTTTGTCATTAGCTTCGGCTATGCATAGGTAAGTGTAATAATAAAAATTCAAATTCAAAACGTTTAACCGATAGGTCTTATGCATTCCTTTCGTCAGGCCTATCACTAAAGAGGAGAAAGAACAAGAAAATAATAAGAAGACCGCTCCGTTAACCATAAAACCTCAAAAAGCGCGTGTTCCTGGTCAGGCTTTCTTTTTGGATAATAAGGATGAAATGCATGCACTGCCAGCACGTTTCCATCATGTACGTCATCATTTGGAACGCACTACTGGACCCGGTATTATTAATTAACTATAATTACAATATTTAGACTTTCAAGCATTCATCAACATCGTTTCTTCAAAAAGATGTAGAAGAGGGTGCCTTGTTGCCGTCACCTACACGTGAAAAATTAATGCCAGCAATAACTAAACGTGAATCGGAATCTCAACGCGGTAGCCCCAAAAAGACAGCAGCTTCACGACACGGTTCACCCCAGAAGGGCAGTCCTCAAAAGGGTAGCCCAAAAAAGATAATTAAAAGTGAGTACATTTTTTTTCCTTATATAAACACTTTTTCCTTCCCCACACACCTTCGTTTGTTTATACGTTCTTTTAGAGAACAACACTTTTTAACTCTTTTTTTTTAACTTTAAATTCTAAAGCACAAAAAGAAAATAAAACAAAGGAAAAATGTCTGGAAGAAGCTTAGGGAAAGGGTGGGAACAATCCGGGGGTATACATATATATATGTATATACGTAAATTATACATATACATGGTGGAGGTACCCACTACACTAATTAGCTGATAAATATTAAAAATTTTATTTTTCAATTCAAATGCAATTTAAGTTTAAATAGTTTTTTATTTCGCTATTATTTGCTAAAACGAAAGATTTTTTGGTTGATTTTGACAAAAAAACAAAAAAAAAAAAAAAAAAGAAAACGAAACAACGAAACCAGGATCTCTCTGACGAGTTTGCTGCTTGTGCTTGTTCTATGCATTTTGTTCCGTTTGATTTTTGCAAGTTCTTCAGTTTATTTATCGAGCAAAAAAAAAGAATCAAAAAAAAAAAACAGAAACAGAAACAGAAACAGAAACACAATACCGCACTTATCTTAAACACGCTCTCATTGACTATCTTTATCTCTCTCTCGCTCGCTCTCTCTCTCTCTCTCTCTCTCTCTCTCTCCCTCTATCTCGCTCTCTACTGCCTGAGAAGAAAGTCATAACACTCTCTTTCCGCCCTAACACAAACCTTTTATTTAGTTGTTTTAAAAAAAAAAAAAAAGCGAAAATTTCTTTAATCTTCTTTACGTCTTAGAAAAGTATCGAACAATATGTTATAAACTGTTTCATTTTGCAGAAGACATTCGGGAGGTTTCTATCAAAAAATTGCATTAAAATGAAAGGAAAAGAATTGCAAAAAAAAAAGAAAAACATTTTTTTTTAATTATCTGTACATTTGGAATCATTAGATACGAGATTTTACTTATACTACTCTTTCTACAGTGATTCACATCCATATGTTTACATGAAAGCGAGAAGCTTGGCCGAGCAGCCTGTATCAAGCAATAAAGGAGATATCCTTAAAAACCGTCAAAAGGTTTTTCTAATTAAGAAGAAAATCAAAAGATGACAGTCTCGCTTTTCTTATTCTTCGTCTTCTTTCCTTTTGTTTTCTTTAAAGGCATTTCTACGACCTGCAAAAAGTAGGGTTTATTGAGATTATATCGATGAATGTAACATCAAGAAACACTTCCGTTTCATTCATCTTTTATTATATCCATGGATTCAGGATGGATTTTGTCTTTCTGTCTACTCATCTGTCTGCTTCTTGCCCGTGGGGTTTTGAGTTCAACCTATAGATTACAATTTTTGGTATGATTAGGTTAGGTTCGTTAATCTAACCTGTTTCGGGTGCAAGTACAAATGCAATTGGAAATGGATGGGTAACACTGTCTTCACGACCATATATATATATGACGTCGACGATTAATTAAAAAAATGCTAACTTGCAAAGTTTATTAATCAAAATATTCACCATCGCAGTCTATGGTCGATAAAAATTACGTAGCTTCTAGCGAAATAGTGATCGACCTATTTTCCTGCATCTGCCAAATTTATGAATCGTTGATCTGCTAAATATGACAGTTTGTTTGTCCATCCGTCTGTTCGTCCGATGTCTGCCCATGTACACAGAAGTAGAAATTTCGACATTTTTTAAGAAAGTTTACTGCAGTGATCTATTGAAAATGGATGAGATCCGATCGACTTCACAACTACTACACATATAAGGCCTTATATACATATATGTACCCGTGGGTCCATTTTTTGGACTCCTCCATCCATATATATATAGATAAGGCACGGTCCTAGCCAATGATTTACCGCCCTGATGACCTAAAAATTTACTACACTAAGCTGGGACCACGTAAGAATATATATTGGAGCCCTCTCCCTATCTAATAAAACGTATATCTTTATATGGCGAAAAACGTATATAATTTTCGATATTTTACAACGAAAATTGTTCTATAAAGAATAACTGTACCAAACTTGGAACCCACTCGTCCAATTTTTGGACTCCCCCATCCAGAGACATAAAAATTTTCATGGCGAATATGCCTCTGAATGCAATTAAGCTCTAATGTTTAGTAAGTTTTGGATAAGAAAATTCATTTTATTAAATTTCAATCACGTCTGCTTACATCATGGGTTTCTAGATCCCATGAAAAATATTCCTTGACATAGTTATGGTTTTTGGCAATTTCACCGTAAAAATTAATGAAAAAAACCTTTAGACCAAATGCTGGTATAAGGTATGTGATGGACGACCTTGCCGGACAAAAAAGTCTTTAATTGTTTTATAGAATCTTGTGCTTAACTTCGCAGACACAGGAAAAGTAAATCCTTTAAAACTATGTTTGACGTCTAAGGCGAAAGCCTTTCGTTTATATTTTCTAATCACTTTGCCTAGTGCGGAAAGCTCTTGAAAAACATGTTAGCTTTAAGTACTGCCTTGTCTGGAGGTTACATCTGTTGTTGCGGTCAGCAATTAGCAGAAAACTGATTTATCACAATATACGTAAACATCTGGCACAGTAAGACTTTTCACTCACTTTTCGATGTAAATACCTTTTCAATAATGAAAGTGGTTTTCCTTGGTTTTGTTACTTGGTATTAAAGCTAATGTAAATCAAGCTTAGCGGCAAGCAATCTGTTACATTTACGCAATTTACAAAACGACATGAAAGCCATAGCAGCAAAAGACAACTGGTTTGCTATGCTTACGCAAAACAGTTTATTATAAAATTTGATTCCTGACGTACATGATAATTTGAGGTTATGTTACGTATATGTATACATTTATACATTTTGCTTGTAAAGCAAAGGCGATTGATTGCCTTTTGATGTAAGTTTGTTTAAGAATTTCACATTCGTGAAATAACTGATAATCTCGTGTCAAATGGGACGACATGTGTAAAGGACGTTGCATTTCCAAACTTACTCATGCAAGAATTTCTTAGTGGTTGGTTGATTGCCATGATGAAGAAGTCGAAACTTTTTTTTTTATTTTTTTTTGTAATTTATTTTCACTATAAATTTACGATTTATACGTGGAGTTTGTAGGCATCGATCTTAACATAAATGTTAATTAGGCCACGAAATTGAAACAAACTCAAAATCCTCTTATCAACGAACTTAAGCGCTAGATAACGAGCGCATGGCTCGCTGAATTCCTAATTAGAGATAATTTGTAAAAATTTTCAAAGGAGTTTGCGATTGTGTTTTTAATAAATCATGACAAAGTTTGGCTAATCAGCAATGCATCTGAAAAATTATTATTATTGAAATTTCCAGGTAAATAATGCTGTCTTACTTATATATATATATGATATTCCCTCTGTTCGAAAATATGGTTTACATATTGGTTTTTCTTTTTGTTTGGATATATGATATGCATTTACAATTTCAATTAATTTTAGTAGTGGAAATATTGGAAAAATCCCCAATTCGAGTAAAGATAATAAGAGGATGAGAGGAGCTAGAGGAAGTTGGGTAAAAAATGCTAAATACTTTAAAAAATGAGTTAAATATACCATTAAGCTGCTTGAAATTAAAGTAAAGCAGCGTGGATAGAGTTGGGCTAAATAAAAGCCGATAGGTTGCCTAGGAATAAAAGCTGGTCTTTTTAAGAATGAAGCTTTCCTATTTCAGAAGTGTTCAGAAGCTTTCCCTAGCCTGGTCTCTCCAAAAAGAGTCTCGACTCGGCTAGGCATGGATCAGGCAGGGAGAAGATGATAGGCTAAACGTGGACTAGGTAAGGAAGAACGGGGTACTGGGGGGATAGTTTCCTTTAATATAAAGCTAACTAGTTTCTTTAACACGAAATTTTTGTTTAAAAAAAAGTCACCTGCCTCAGCTAAAATGGAACTAGGCGTCGGAGAAACGAATTGTCGGACTTCTTATTTAACCCGTTAATGTAAATGACGTCTATAGACATCCATTGCGTGTGCGTGTAGATGCACACAACGCTGATAACCGTTCATTACTGTTAGTATTATAGAACAAAAAAAAAGAAGTGTGTTTTTGGAAGCAGTCACTGATTTTAAAATGAGCGACCCAATGAGAACTCATCTCCTTACAATGGTTCAACGAACCTGTAAAAAATGTTTAATTTCCCAAAGTGTGGCTGCAGGATAAAGTCTCTGTACGTCTTCTTTCTGAATCACTTTCCCAATCGATTCAAGCGTGTATGTCTTTCTGTCCGCCATTCAACTGGCTTATTTTAGCTATTGAAAATGCTTCGGATTGGATCGCGTCTTTTTTCTGAACCACTTTTTGAATCGATCCAAGCGTGTCTGTCTTTCTGTCCGCCATTCAACTGATTTATTTTGACTATTAATAATGCTTCGGATTGAATCACCTTTTCCACGACTTGGGCCGTGGTCCAATATACTTGAATTACTGACTATGCAATATATGACAATGTAACGATTTTAACCATATGCGCCAATATGTGAGTCAGTACTAAAATAAAAACTTTTTTGTCTAGTACTTCTAGTGTAAAGCTAGGATCCATATAATAATTGTGGATCATAGATCTAATGTGTATAGAAATCTGAAATGTAAACAATATTTTTGGACAAACTTGGCCACTTTTTCTTCATTTATCGCTTTCATTATAATGTTTGTAAGCAAAAAGAAATGAAAATATTTCCATTCTTTGTAATATATTGTAAGCCGTATTTTTGAACAGCGTTTCTAGCTTGGGAAGGAGATTACTTTCTCCGCAAAATGACAAAGCAAAGTTAAGTGAATTTGTTAATTTTTTTGTTTTCTTTAAAGTTGCAATAAGCTAAAGTTTTATGTGATTCTAAACTATTTTGTATGTAACGTTAGATTTTAGCCTTTGTTATTTCATCTCTTACTGTGTGGCTAGAGTTTCTAAAACAAAGTCATATTGTTGTGCTGTGTGTGGTTCTTGATAATATGTTTTTATTTTGAATCCTATCCCTAACACGAATACACGAAACGTAGATCCCTGTCCCATGTTTCACTTTAAAAACTCTTTAACCAAAAAAAAAAAATTTCTTTAAAAAAAAAGAAATAACAACATTTTATTCATTAAATTCATTTAAATTAACATAAAAATTCAAATTTCTCCTAACATTCGATTCTCAATATCTCATGCGTATTGTGAAAACATTTTAAAAATTAAAAAAAAAAAAAATTGTTTGCTAAAGCACGCTCACAATCGGTTGGTCCTGAACATGAGTCTCCTAAACGGCAAATACGCTCAGCCAGTACCGCACCAACTGCCAGATATGTAACTACAACGGCTGGAAAGAAGACACCTACAACTGCTGCCGCTGAGCGTAAAGCACGTCCATGTAAGTAGAACGTAGTGACAAATGAAAAAAAAAATTAACAACAACAAATTATTGTCGTTTAGTTCATCAAGAAAAACAAAAAAAACAAAAAAAAAAAAAATTTCTATTGTCTTTCTATGGCGACCAGCATCTAGTTACATGTTTATAGTTCAGTTCAGTTCTCTCGGAATTGTGTTATATTTTCTTCATCTTAACTTACTTTTCTTTAATATGTGTGTTCAGATGCCGATACTGCTCATATAAATAAAAAAAAATATATTTTGTAGCAATCATTTCACTTTAAACAGATAATTTTCTTTTCTCTTTAGATATTATTTTCTACTGTTGTAAAGTCTTTTGTACATTAGTTTCGGTATAAATTTATATAGAAAAAATTAATTATTGGTGTGATGGTGTTGGGTTGTAATTAAAAAAAAAAAAAAAAAAAAATAATAATAATAATAATAAATAATAATAATAAATAATAATACAAAAATAAAAAAGTAATTCTCTAGTTAAAGCATGACAATCTAGTTAAAATTTAATTAATTGAAATTTATTTTATGAAAATTAATAAACAGAATTAAATTAACTTTTTTTTTTTCTTTTTTAATTATAACTTTGAAAGCATGGTCGTCCAACTTTCTCATTCTCAATATCTCGCCATTCAAAGATAAAGCTTTGCTTGAGTCCATAGCAATATTTTTATGCTTTTAATTGGCTCAAAATTTTATATAAAGTCCTTATGTCGGTCAACTCTTCTTTCTCTCATGGCGAGAAAAGTTAGATTAGAAAGCTGAAATTTTGCATTTGCGATAGTCGATTAAAAATCAGATTTAAAAGTGGACTTGGTACAGTCATAAGCGCAGGTAAATCAGCTGAACATCTGGAAAAAATGTAAAATAAAAGAAAATTCCTAAACTTTGCTTATAGCCGAAAAGACTTGTAACACATGGTATATTAAGTTTGCAAGTAATGCACAGAAATACTACAGATAGACTCCCTTTTATTATATAGACCGGTTCACAACCGAATTAAGAATCACTTTACGCTTGTCTTCCTTCTATTGGTAATTTTCGCAATTGGTTTAAGCTTATTTGCCCGATATTCGTCCATGTTCGCAAGTTTTGCGACATTTTGATGAAATTCGGTACACTCCGTAGGTGGTATAGCCCGAAGGATGTACCCTACTGAAACTAAATTCGATCGGATCATTTTTTTGACCGTTCCGAATACATTTTGCAAAGTCGTTACATGATTAATATTGAAATTTATACAATTCGTCCGCTGAACTCACTTTGTCATTTTAAATTGATGTGAAAAATTTTGATCGTATCCGCAAGTTCTTGCCATATAATCGTTTCTACGCGGGCTAAAACTTTATGCGCTAGAAAGGCTTCACTTTCATAGATAAAATATTATAGTTCATAATATTAACTTGACTTAAAAATCAGCCTTATCGAATTTGAGTCTCATAGGTTAATTTTTTGCTTCCCAAGCCATATTAAAAAAAAAATAAAAAATACGCCTTTATTTTGCAAAAATGTTCACTTTTTCATATTTTATATTGGCTCTTGAGAGCAATTTGATATAAAATTTAATTCGAGCAAATTTGAATCAAGTAGATCTCTTTTTTGGAAGGACTGTCGTCAAATAGAACGCCTTATATCTTGTGATGAACATTTTTCCGTAGCATTAATTTCACATTAAAATGATCTGAAACACATTTGAACTGCATGGATCTACTTTTTAATAGCCATCCTATATAAGACTGTCGCGTAAGGGGCTACCATGAATAGTAAGCCGTTTAGCAAAGAGGTTTAGTTGTAGTATTTTATTAACCGTAGGACATTTGAACAACATAGATCCGTTCTCATAAAAGGTTGTCACAAAAGGTAAGCCTTTATATAGTAAAAAAGTCCAGTTTTTATATTATATGAGATAAATTGTTTCATGAGGGCAGCTTGATTGAAAACTTATATTTGAATCGCATAGATGTATTTTTTAGACGCAATCATGTTTTCATGAAAAATAAGTCTAATTTGTAGGTCTTTACCCACGAAAATAGGTCAAGAATAATAAAAACTTAAAAAAAAAGATTAAATTTGGTAAATTAAATTCGAGTCAGTTAAGGTTTTGGGCACTCTTCAGTAAGATGGCTTTCATGAAGACTATGCCTTTACATAAAAACAAAGTATAACCATATTATCATGAAAGTGAATGAACAATAGTCTTAGGCGAGATCAAGTAAGGCAATTAAAGGACGGCTTTGACCAACTGTAAATTTATTATTGGTTTTATTTTAAGTTTTGTTGTGAAAATGATGGTGGCATGACCATCTCTAAGAAAAGTCTACGATTATTGAAATTTATCCAAAATCCATACACATAATCAAAAATCACAATTTGAACGCCACATGATTTCGTAGAATATATCCTTGAGAAGCCTACTGATGAGAAAAATGTTGGACAACCCTGCCGCACATAACTAAAAATTGAAGTCCAGTAAGATTCATTTTAGTTCGTAAATACTTTCACTTATAATTTGCCGTGGACGTGGCAGCTAAAGCGGGTAAGGTTTACTGTTTTTTTGCTAACAACATTTTTGCATTTGTGCTAAGGAAAAACGTATTAAATGAACAGTGGTGACATCTATGGTTTAAATCAACATTTTGTACCCACCACCGAATAATACGGTTATACTAAAGAGTTGTTCCTTTCCTCGTATTATTTAAAAGTACGCACTAGCGATTAACATTACAGAATATAGTGTTCAAAAAATAAGGGGAGTTTTGATTTTTTAATGTAAAGTAAAAGTGTGTCGAATATTAAGCAATAATTTTTTTGCAGGTTCGTTTCGTTAGCTTATAGAGTAGAGCATATGTTCTGGTGTAACTTATAAAATTGTCAGTGAAATCTCCCTCTAATGAGCTTTATTGACTCAAGACAATTGCGGACAACAAAATAGTTGCTCGAAACTATATCAGTTTAATACTGCGCTTGTAGAAGGATATAATTAATACATAAGAAACTCTTTTTTTTGGAAAATCAAAAATCCCCCCATATTTTGAAGGCATTACGACTTCAGTGTTTGAGTCGCGTGTACATTTTTGTGACAATTTTCTTTATTCACAAGATTTTGTGGCGGGTCAGCTACTACATGTAAATTAGAGAAATGATGTTCTTGAAGGACATCTATAGCCACTACGTACCCTATAGCTACATAAAACCTTAATCGAGTTTTCTGTAATTTTTCGGTGTAACATCACCAAGTAGTTACGCAGCGGGTCTATCAAGTCGGTAGGCCTCAATTCGCTTGCTAGAATGGTGGACTTTAATAACAATTGGTTTGTAATCGTCAACGGAACGATTGGTAAAGGCGTAAAAGTTACCTCTCGGGCACGTAACTCACGGGAAAGCCCCGTTACCAATTTACTTCCCCCTACTTCTTTCTGGCCGTATGTATAGAGAAGGGGCTAATTTGAAGAAATATGCTTTACCTTTGCTGATACACCGGGTTTATTTTATTAAATGTTATTACTGGTAAAAAGGCTTACCTACTTCCTACCTAGGCAATAAATGAATGAAGGTAGTAATTTTTATAATAATTGATTCAGGATTATCATGCCATAATAATATGGACAAGGATGTGGCATAAAATAAATCTTGATGCACGTCGTTTTATTTGTTGTGACCTTTTAAAATAAGACGCAATGGCGGATGTGGTCAAAAAACTGATCCGATCTGAACCATTTTAAGTAGCGTTTATTCGCGTTAGAATGTTTCAAATATTTGCGGCTTCTAGGTTGAATAAAAAAGATCAAGACGGACAGCCGGGCGGTCAAAATCGTCAATATACCAAATTTCATTCATATATCTAAAAAATTTGCGAGATGTAGGTTGAACACAAGAACAGAAGACGAACAGAAGGACCGACAAGTGTACATCGATTGAGAAAGTGACAAATTTCTCGAAAATATCTCAAAAAATGCGACCGGCGGAATGGAGACAATTTCATAAGACGAATAGATGGAGATAACAGATGGTTTTATCTCATGTCCTTCTATTTGCTGAATACGTCCGCACAAACTTATTATACTCTTCTACCGCAAGTGGTGTAGGGAATAAGAAAAAGCTCATTATTGTTATGAATGACGTGGACAAGATGTATCGCAACCTAGAAGATCTAGTGTACATGGCCATGCCCCTGGCTCTTCACTTTGCATTTTTATGAATCCCGTCACTTTCTTCGGATCGGAGAACCATACCGAGTCCGGCGTAGTAAAATGTTCACCAAACACTTAGTATCTGAATCTGCAGATGGCCTGACATTCACCTAGAACGTTTCACTTTGCCGCTGGCAGAATCTGCATGAAGCGATATCAAACATACCCATGAAGCCGGTGACTAATTGCAGGTCGCTTCTTCTTAGTTCCGGTAATTCGTGTGGCCTACCGGAACATCTGACCAATCTTATCGCCTGTCATTGTTCTGCAGTCTATTAATATTTGTACGCCAAAGAACGGTCCTTGTCCCCTCCAGCTCCCCAGTTAGCCAGGCAGTCAGCCCTTATGTTGCCCTCAGCACCCAAATTGCCAGGCCAGGTGTACATCGTTGTGCCTGCCTAGTTCACTCAGTGCTTGAAGGCACTCCAACGCAAGCCTGGATGTTATCATGCGCTTCCTTATACACTTTAAGGCGGCTTCGCTGTCGGAGTATATGCAGATCCGTTGTCTCCTGCACTGCCTTCTTAAGCAGTCAGAAATAGAGGCGGTAATTGGGTAGACTTTTGCTTGGAATATGAAGGGAGTATGTCCCGTTGTTATGGGCTTGTGGCGATTCGGGCCACAAAACTCAGCCCCAGTTTGGCTATTTCCAATGTCGAGCAGTGCACTTAGCAAGCTTCTGTGGCAATAAAATGAGAAGTGGGTCCCAGCAGCGCCTCTAGGGCATTCAAGGGGCCCGATCTCGTCGTCCCGGTAATGCCAACGCACGTGAGATGTCGTCCCCGTCGTTTTTTGCTTCGCAAAGCCGAAGCGGCATAGGTTGGAATGGGAGATATTATGGTGGTATAAGATTAGTAGATCAATTTTGGGCTTATACCAGATGTTTTGCCGTAAAAGCGTTGACAGGTAAGGAGTAAGAAAAAGCCTATCAGAGATGATCATTTATCTGCCATTATGGGGAGGCAATCGAATTGATCGAATTTAACGGACTAGGTTACAAATCTAATGTGATTGTTGGAGGTGGTGGGTAACAAATAATAAAAAAACAAAAACAAATAGTTTGAAATAATTTGAAAATTAAATAAGAACTAACTCATTGCATTACTCCCTCTGGTGGAATATTTGGATTCGTTAGAATTTATACAATTTATGGTTTTTTTTTTTCCTGCTAATTAGTTAATGTTTCTATAGAAAACTTTGGTAGTGAATAAAGACCGCTCACTACAGGTTTGAAAACTTCTTTTCCTTTTTACTTACATTAAACCCTAAGGAAAAATTTTCAAGCTAAAAAGAAAAGATTTTTTTAAAATCTCATTCTCGCTGATTCGAAAGGAAAGACCGTCGCTTAATCGACAGCTTGAAAGCTCTTTGCTTTGAATGTAGTAGAAAAATGCTTTAGAGTTGTCATATGCCTTTTATAGACATAAATATAGAGGTATATGTATACACATATAAATAATTGAAGAATTTTCCGAATTTGAATTTGAACTTGAAAATTGTACGAATTTAAGAATAGATCTTTTTTGAAAGCAAAGTTCAATGTGATTTCATTCATATTATCTTTTCTTATTTTCTTTTCTTTCTTCTTTTCATTTCGTTTAATTAACATAATGTGCTTTTTTGAATTTCAATTTTTTTTCTCTATTTTGTTTTTTGTTTTATTTCTTCTCTTTATTTATTTATTTGTTTTATACATATATATATACGTTTGTTTTGTTTTTTTTTTTTATATATTGTAAACAGCTACCCTTTCCACTACATTACATATACGTACGAAAAGTAGTTCATTACCTCCTCCTCCTCCTAGTGGTAGTAGAGCTCATGCAAATGCTGTCGCTGCTGCTAATATCGAAAATTCTCAACTTCATGCAAATCAATCATTAACATCAACATCACTAAGCAAATCGCCACAATCTTCGCAAATGCGTAAAAGTGACAAAGACAAACGTAACTTAATTAATAATAATAATAATAATAGCCATGAAGCCAGTAATGGCAGTATTGTTACGCAACCACTACTACTACCACCACTACCACCACCAGCACCACCACCACCGCTGCTACTGCAACACGGTATGAAAATAATTAAAACGCCGCCAAAAACTTCGGCAATGAGTTCAATGAGTGTTATTCAGACCGACGGTATGCGTAAAATTGCGCCGCCATCGACGCTGGTTATGAATGATGAGATTGGCGGTCATAAAATCGGTGGTGATGTTGGCAAAACATTGGCTTTGAATCGTTTACCGGTACCAGGTCGTGATAAAAAATTGGCTGAAAGTGAGTAGAGCGATAAGGTCGTAAGGTCAACAAAAACAAAAATAAAAACCATTGATTGCCTAAAGGAATGAATTTAAGTAAATTTATTATACTTTTGTTTTCTCTCTGCCAAAAAAAAAAAAACCAAACCAAACTAAAAAAAAAATTTAACCACAAATCAAGTGTCTTTACACTATTTACAACTTTTATGGCTACACTTACACTTGTACAAAAACAACTAAAATGTTTTTTGTTTTTTTTGTTTTTTTTTTTCCTAGTGTTTGTACATTAAAAGTACATTAATGTTTGTCGTTTAGCTTTAGTTGTACAATAATATGAAAATAATTTAGCTCTAATTAATATAATCGTAAAAAAAAAAGAAAAAAAAATTTAAATCAAAATTTTTCTATTCATGTTTTTTTTGTCTTATGTTGTAGTGCAGTGATGTTAAGTTCAGTGTAAATATGCAGTAAAAAAAGAGAATTTCTAATGAATGGAGAAAAGTTTGGTGTGTACACGTACACGGCGGTCTCTTTGTCAACTAACTATAGTAGTTGTGTGTGTTTTTTCTGTTGCCTAGTATATAAACCTGCCCTTGGGATCCACAGTAACCACAAATCCTTACAAAAGTAAACTTTACGCAACATGAAAACATTGCGCTTAAATCACTATTACTTGACGAATCTATCTCTCTCTCTCTCTCTCTCTCTCTCTTTCTCTCTCTCTCACTCTCACTCTCTCTCTCACTAGCTCCCTATCTATCTGTCTCTGTCTTTCTATGTCTGCCTCTCTATACGCCTCTGTGCCTGCTATCGCTCTTCCTCTTTTTCTCACTCTCTCTCTCTCCGTAATATTTTTAACTAATTGTTTTATTGCCTAAGCTTTGTTGTTATTCTTGTTGTTGTTATTGTTGTTGATTTGTTGTGGAAAAGCTTTACCTTCTTGTTAACATTCGAAAGCATGTTTTTTTTTTAATTTTTCATTATTACTATTATTATTAATGTTGTTGTTGCAAAAAACGCTTCAAAAATGGTTTTTTCTCTGGAAAAAGAAAGCTTTTCTCTTTTAATTAAATTTTCTGTTAAAATCTTTAATATTAAGTTATGTTTTTTGTTTTTTTTTTTATCTTTCTTAACAGGTTTACAAGAAATTTTTTTTGTTTTTTATTTATTTTATCGTTTTGGTTGAACTAACCAAATAAAGTGTTTGGATTTCAGTTTCTTTACATTAAAAAAAATATATATATACGAAATTTTTACCACAACAAGCTTCTTTTTTTGATTTTTACTCTATATCAAGTTTAAAAGAGGGCGATTTTAAAAAAATATATTGAGAAAAAAAAAATATTTTTTTTTTTATTTTTTACTTTATTACGATATAGATGATGGTGAAGATGGCCGTGACACTGCCATATCTGTGTCCAGTTGTAGTCCACAACCGGTCCCTGAGGTACCAGAAGAGCCTTTGGTTAAATCGCCGCCCGAACCTACACGCGTCAAATCGCCCGAACAAATTATAATGCGTTCACCCGATCCGGTTAATTGGACCGTACCATTGGATACAGGGAAAACATTTACCGTTACGCAAAATGTTAAAGAAGGTCAGTTTGCATTTAACCGAAAATATCGCATTTGAGTTATATAATGAAATCATTTACAAAAAAAGTTCGATTTTTAGGTGAAAATTACAGTCGGCCTCAGAGCGAGATAAAGGCTTCGACTCCGGTCGAAAAACCACCACCACCACCACAATCGGCTCCACCCGAATTGACTGAACAAGTCAAAATGGACGGTAAGCTTTAAAGCACGCTTCTACTTCGAAACATCCATATCTAATAAGACAAAAAAAAAAAAAAATAATCCAAAAAAAAAAAAACGCTTATCAAATAATTCGCTATTCATCATCATTTGTTAAAAAAAAAAAGAAAAGAAAACTATCAATTCAGTCAATCAGTCAAAGCTTAAAATACCACAAACTAAACCTATAAAAAAAAAAAAAAAAAAAAAATAAAAAAAAAAAAAAAAAAAAAAAACAATCCCAAAAAGCACTTTACGTATAACACACATTTTCTTCGTAAACTTTTCCTCATATTCACGCGTAACAACAGCTTGGAAAAATGCTCATTCTACCGATACCAAAGCATCGTTGTTGAGCAGTTCTAGTCCCACATCTAGTCTAAGCAAAAATCAAAAATCTTTTAATAACAACCACACCAACAACAACAACAATAATTATAACAACAATCATAATAGTAACAATAATAATATAAATAGTAATAGTAATAATAATGGAAACAATAACACCAATAATAAATTAAATACTAAACCATTGCCTGGTACTACTATAAGAGTATTAGAAGATCCTTTATTTGATATAGATGTGGTAATGGCTACTAGTGCTGCTTCCATAACCAGCGTAACAGGCGGTGGTAATCTCTCATCATCATCAAATTCAACAACAACACCATCAACTGCTCGCACTACGGCAACCGATGTTTTGGAAAAGGCTCGTGATCGTTTTGATCGTTTCTGGGGTGGTAACAACGTTAAAGAGGAGAGTGTTTAAATTTACTATTAAAAAGAACAACAACAACATCCACAAATAAAAAAAACCAATAACATTCAAAAATATTTTACAATTTATAATCAAGCCTTTAAAAAAACACAAAATGCAGCCTACGAATAATTAAAATTAAAAAAAATAAATAAAAGCAGAACACAAGAATGGTATATATATGTATTTGAAAAACCAAAACCAAAAAAAAAAAAAGGAAAAAACAAAAAAGAAGACATAAGAGATTTTTATGTTAAACACAAAACCACTTTAACTTTCGATAATGAAGACTCTGCAGAACATTTAAAAGAAGAGGTATGTTAATCTTATGTTAGCTTATGACTTAGTCTGTCAATAATGTTTTCTGTTCTTTTTTTTTAATTTTTACATTTTTCTTTTTTTATTCTTTCCTTTTATCATCTTGAAGTATCCCACACCACCTCAATGATCGAAGACGACTACTAATTACAACACATTGTCATGCATAAACATATATAAACATAAATTCATTTAAGGAAATCATCAAATTCATATTAGAAATGCTGTAAAATCCTTTTAAAAGCTTAAGATTAAGAAAAGCTTGCTATGTAAGAAGATAGGAAAGGCTTCATCGAGAACGACCTCAAGTTAAACCTCCAAGAAAGAATACTTATTTCGAACTTAGGGAATGTTATGAAAAATTTTTAAAAGCTTTAAACCTAACAAAGATTGTCAAATGAAAAATGGAAAGCTGCAAAAAGCTTTTAAAGACCTTTAACCCCAAGATAGCTTGTTAAGTGAAAAATGGAAATGTTAAAAACGATTTTTACAGTCTTTCAACTTAAGCGAAAAAATTGAAATCTATAAAAAGCTTTTGAAAGCCTTTAACACAAAGCAACTTGTTAAGTAAAACATGAAAATTTATGAAAAGCCATTTCAAGCCACTTTAAACCTCGACGGATTTCAGTGACAACTGAAAATCAATAAAGAGCTTTTAAAGGCCTTTAACTCAAGATAGCTTTTAAAGGCTTTTTTAAACCTAAGATCACTTATATGAAGAACAAAAAAGATTATAAAAAACTTGTAAAAGCCTTGAATGCTTGCTTATTATTAGGTGAAAAATGGACAATTATATAAGCTTTTGAAGGCTTTTAACTAAAAACTATTTAGGTGAAGAATGGATATCTATAAAAAGCCTTCAAATTCCATTAACCCAAGCTAGCTTGTTGAGTAAATAAAACATGGCACAAAGCTCTTAAAGCTCTTTTCAAGTGAAAAGAAAAATCCATTAAAAGCTAAAATATTTTTTCACTTAACATCACTTAGGTGAAAAATGTTAATCTACAAAAAGCTTGTGAAGGCCTAAAAGCTATAAAAAGTTTTAAAAGCCAACAGAGCATATTAGTTAAAAAAGGGGAAATAAATCTTTTACGAGGAATAAGGAAATTATTTCCCTACAACACCTTAAAGAAAGATGTTTAGAGAAGCTCTACATAGTTTTGGAAAGAAAGGGTGAAAAGATAAAGCTTTAAGAACAAGATAGGTTTTACGCAAGGCAAAAAAAAAAAAAATGCTTAAATAGCTTAAGATAGGGAATCAAAAACAAATTCTAGGAAGCTTTAGAAAGTTTCCAAGGAAAGCTTCTTATTGTGTAGAAAACGATTCTTAAGCGAAACAAATCGAATAGAAACCAACTTAGGTTGAGCTTGAAAGAACTTTTGAAAATGCTTGGGAAGCAGAGCAAATAGAGGAGAAAAGCAAAAAAAAAAAAGAAAAAGAAAAACGAAAAGAAATGAAAAACAAAAGAAAGAAAATGAATGACATACGAGTTCACATATTGACAACAGCCACACAATCTACGAGACACGAAGACCCGTCCAGAGTTAAGAAAATTTACACATACATATATTTTACAACAAGAAAAGCAACAACAATTCTACTCTACAAAAACCTAAAAAAAAATAAATAAAAATAAAAACAAACAATTAATAACAATAATTTAGGCCATCAAAAAATGAAAAGACAGAAAGCATTAGCTAAACATATAGAGTTTCCGTCAGATTTTACACTCAAGAAAAATAAATATAATAATAATAATAATAATGATAATAAAAACATAAAAATATATTATTGATAAAACCAAAAAAAAGAGACATAAATTCTTAAAAATGAGACTCGTATGTTTAAAAATTATTTAAATAAGAGAAGAAGATTTTTTTAATAATTAGAAAATAGAAAATTAAACAAAATAATAATAAAAAAAAAAAAAAACAAATAAAACCAAACAAAACAAAACTTAAAAAGAAAGAAATTTTCTCATGTTTTTAAAACTTTTTGTAACGATTTTTTATTTTCAATATAGTTTTTTTTTTTTGTTTGCGCCAAACATTTGTTATACGCAATATTAAGTGCTTCAAGACAACAAAACAAAAAACCAAACTTATATGTATGTGACCGACACCCTTAGTTAGCCTTAAAACAATTTACTGCAACGTATATCAAAATAATAATAATAATAATAAAATACAAAAAAAAAGAAGAAAAATATTATTTCAAAACTTAAAGTTTGAATGCATATAACCGCCAATTCGCAAGCAAGCAAGCGAACAGATCAAGAAGAAGAAGAAGAAGTAGAGGAAGAAAAGGAAAAATAAGTAAACAAAAAAGTATTATCGGATATTTATCATTAATACCGTAATCAGAATTATTAAGTTAAGCAAAATGCATGTTAAAGAAAAGACAATTGAAACCTAGTTCAAGGAAAACCAAAAAAAAAAAAATAAAAAAACAAAACAGGAAAAAACCGAAAAAGAATATATATATATATACATATATATATATTTAGATTTTGAATATATATTTAGCAGATCGTTTTTCTTTTGTCTATTTTCTTCTTCTTTTTTGTTTTTCTTTACAAATAAATGTTGCGCTATATACCTTAAACATATACATATAACAAAATATATATATTAAAGATTTGTTAGCATTGCTTATATGCTTTTCACTTGACTTTATCGTTAAAGATCTTGTTCAAGCCATTGCCAAGCTTTTACACATAAAAAGGATGTTTCAAAATAAACTGAATACCGTTTTTTATATATATATTTTTTTTTTTTTGCAAAATATTAAAACAACTTGCTTGCAACACCCAACTGGAAACTTTAGTGACTCCACAGCGCATATATATATTCTTGATCAGTATCGAATTATAAATTTATCTAAATATGTCCGCCCGTCAGTCTTTCCGCCTGCTTGCTTGCCCCATTGTCCATTTGCTCATTTGTCCGTCAGTCCATCTAGCCGTCTGTCGATCTCTCCGGCTGTCCATCTATCCGCTGGTAATTATGTACGCCTGTCAATCCATTCGCCTGTGCATTTGTCTGCCATCTTTTCCATCCATTCTTCTATCTGACTGACCATGTCTTTCTGTCCATCTGTCCACGTCCTGCATAAATATTCTACGGGTAATTCTATAGTACATGATTAGAATGGAAAACAATTGACTACGCCCGCACTTTATAAAATAGGGAGAGTTTACTTTTTTTTTTTGTAAATGGTGCTTGGTATATAATATGCGACCAGAGTCGAATATAATTTTCTGTTAAAAAGATGTCCTCCATACATGTCGACATGATCGTGAAAGTTAAGTACATTCCTGTTCCGGTCTAGACTTTTTTATTCTCATTGAGTTCACCTTATAAAATGTGAAAATATTATCTTGTTTTACCCGAAACGTTTGCACATACGTGGACTCAATCGAGTACAATAATCAACGCTTACGCCATTACTTTAATCATTTCAAAAACAAACGTTATTCTCCCTTTCCAATAATAATACCGACTCATTTCCTCGACCTGAACAGGCGCTAATCAAAAGGAGCCAGGTCTAAACAGTGATGCACAATTGGGATAAACTTCAACCCATGATGAAGATCACTTCCCGTGTTGCTTTTACTCGAGACGGATGGACGTACGCACACGTAAATCGTCCTCAAGACAAAAATTCAATGCATAGAAGTATTTTAAACCTTTAATAGATCTCAATATAATTCAATCTATTTCCTTGAAGATGGACTTTGTAGTCTCAGCTGAACTTTTCTTAACAAAAATATAAAGCTTTCAATTTTCTCACATCCCTTCCAGACTTAATAAATACACTTCCAAGAATTGACAGGAATTTACAGATTGGATCTGCGTTGTTTTCGAAGAAAATATTTTTCATTTTTTAAAGTGAAGAGTGTACCAAGTACGGCTAAAGCCGTTTCAATTGTTTTTTTATTTTTTTTTGTTTCTTAATTTTTTTTGTTTATTGCTACAATCAATTCCAAAAGATAAATATAATGAAAATGGGTAAACTCCTGCTATTGTTTAAGTTGCTTGATACATAATGTTATTGTTTAGTAAATGACAGCAACAACAACAACAACAACAACAGCAATAATAAACTACTGTTGAGTTAAAAGATGAATTTATAATTAGTTATTAATATATATTTACAAGAAAAACTAATTGAATAAAAAAAAAAAAAAAAAAAATTGAAAAAAAATATTATAACTCATTAAAACTATACGTATATAAAAATAAAACAAAGCATAAACTGAATATTTAAACTTCAACACAAAACCATTTACTGAACACACTTATTAAAGAATTTTAAACAACACACACTTAACCTACAACTTAATGACATCTTCAAAACTAAGTGAAAGCAAAAAAAAAAGAAAAGAATAATAAAAACCAAACTTTAGTTAGAGAGCCCGTTAAAAATTAAATTTTATAAATAAAAAAAAAATAACAAAAACAACAACAAAAAAAGAAAATACAAAACAAAAATCCACAAACTCTTCACTCAAGATTTAAACTCTCTTCAGCACACGTATCTATTTAATTTAAAGCGAATAATGAAATCAACAACAAATAAACAATTAGGAATTCTAATAAATTCATTTATAAAATAATAATAATAAAAATAATAATAAAAAATAAAGTTATGTTCGTCTTAGGATGAATGATTAACACTTGTCACCTTAAGGAAAATTTCCATTGCGCTCAGTTTATATGCAAGACAACCTTTTGAAAGTCTACGGAAATTGACCAGGAAAACATTTGCGTTTTATTTAGATTTTCTAACGAGAGCGGATTGACAGAGAGACAACCGGACGGAAACGAGACGTTTGAAAGATAAGACGGATGGACGAAAAAACTGATAAGAAGACTTGCAAACGAAGAAATAGCACGATTTGGAAAGATAGATAGACACGGGAACTTGTGGGCAAACAAATTGAAAGAGATAAACTGACGAGTAGCAATGGAGCGAAAAATGCGCAGAGAATTAGAAGAATGAGCGAGCGAACGAAAAAATAAAGGGCGGGTGAATAAGATGATAAGCGGGCGGATGCAACAAAAAACGAATGAAAGTAAAGAATACTGCAGATACCTGATGATAAGATAGGGAAAAAACGAACGCTACTAAATATGAAGACGAGAAAAGCAGCCGGAGGAAATGAACAATGAGTAAAGGAAAGAATGAGTAAAGGGAAGAAGAAACAAGCAGCTGCAGAGAAAACGGAGCGTGAACAACCAGAAGAAACGAAGATTAAATAAAGAGAAGGATGAGTGAAGAAAGAAAAGAATTAATAGACAAGGGAAGGAGCAGCGGTAGTAGGAAGGGCGAAATGCACATAACGGAAATAAAGCAATGTGGGGAAAGGAAAATAAATGCCGCAAAACGTACGCAAAAGGAAACAAATGGGAGTGGATAAAAAGATAAGTGAATAAGAAGTAGAGAAGGCTGCGTACAGCAATGATTGCGATGAGCAATCTAGAGAAAAATAAACGCAGCAAAGCGTGAGAGAGAAGAAAGAAATGCGAGCGAACGAAAAGGCGAATGGGTAATAGGAAAATGAGCGAAGGAAGAAAAGAATGCCCCGACGCAGCGAACAAGGAATGGATGCACTCAGGTAATGAAAAGGCACGTGAAACCGGGCGCAGTGACGGACAAATAGAAGCAAAGATGTATGAGCCGTCGAAAAGAAGGATTAAGGAATAATGAGAAAGCAAATGTGGTGAAAAAGGAATACATGAAGGGAATAACGAATAAACAAAAGTGGCAAAGGTTCACCGAATACGGCGGAAAGGGGAAGGGAAGAATAGAAGAATACACGGACAGAAGAAACAAATTGATGGACGGAAAGACAACTGCATGGAAGAAAAAAGGTAAAGAAGAGTCATAATTGAGAGAACAGACGAACAGACAGACTCACAGACAAATGTATTAATATATAGACAAATTTAGGAAAGGCATTAACAATAAGATGAGAGGAATTTACAAACGCTTACAAGCGAACTTACTTACGATCTCGACTTAATCAAGCCAACATAGACCATTAATTTGATCTCTAACTTGATTCAAATCTTACCAATCGTGAACTTGACTAACAAGCCCATCCCTCGGTGATCAGTACAGAAATAAAAATAATAAAAAAAAATAAATAAATAAAAAGAACCCCATATAAGAAAACTCAATTTTGATGTAAACTTTAGCTTAATAATTAAGAAATAATTAAAAAAAAAAGAAGAAAATATTTTTTTTGAAGTAACAATTATTAGTAAATCCACAAAACTAAAACATTAATGGAATATCAAAAAATAAATGAAAATAAAAGGCTAAAGAGTAAATTCCCATTAACAACAGCTTCTCATTCATATGTCAAGAAAAACAAGAACAACAACAACAGAAAAGAAAAAAGAAAATCTCAAAATCCTTTTAAGT